AAAAATTAGTATTAACATGTTGGATAATTTGATCTTACTCTGAGCTTTATCTGCCTAAAACATTCCTTAGCTTTAGTTAGTGTTTTCTTTTCACAAAGTAACCTGTTTGCTCATGTGAATTACTATTGTCAGTGAGGGCAGATTGTGTGTTTCAGATGGTGGCATGCCTAAATGAAAAGATCAGAAACCAAGGGAGCAGGAAAAATAAGTCATCCTTTCTCATAAGTGGTTTACCCCAGATTTGCTATGATTCACTTGAGCCTGAATATTTGATTGTTTCTCTGCTCGTGGGATCTTACCAATCTTTTCCCTCCTTAATGTGCCAGGCCTTTTTCTTCTATATGGAATCTCCTTCTGTAAACATTCGAATAGGGAGGAATGGTGTAATCTTTTCTGTTTATCATCGTTTGTATTAATAGTAGTATACATGTGTCTTTGTGAGAACTGTGAGGTAGCAGCTATTACTATTTTACAGATTTTACTATTTAGTTATCATGTAACTTTAGAACTAGAAAGTACTTTAAATCACCTTTCTTCTCTAGATTTACAAATGGAGCCTCTGAGGGAGGTCCTTTAGATTTTGTAATTGCTCAAAGCTGTATTAGACAATTAATTTATTACCTGATAGAGCTGAGGTCTCCTGTTTCTTGCCTTGATAACATTTTCCATTACTCCATGTCGCTTTCTATTTTTCTAAAACCAGCATTTCAGACTAATGAAATATAAAAATTGATAAAACTGTTAATTATTTAAGATCATTAATACTTGTAGCATACATATGTATAAGGCATAAAATGAAGTAGTACCATCAGTGGAGGAAAAGGTGAATTCTGACCCGTATTTTTAGAAAACAGAAACTATTCATCCAACTCAGAGGGAATCATGAAATTCTCAAAATAGAATTCCCATATTAAAGTAAGTGCTTCATAGGCTTTTTAGGAATTGTCGACTCAGAAAGTGAGGAAATTTCTCACCGTGGGTGAAACTTTACCTAGGAACCTATCTTCCTGAAAACACAGGCTTCTAGGGTAATTTCAGATAGTTTCAGACCTAAAAGTCAATAAAAACTAAACGAGATCCTTTGATGTTTCGGGAAAAAAAAAATTCCCGCAGCAGCCAGAAACAACACAGTTGAAAAAAGCCGGTGACTCTAACATTCTGTAATATATAGGAGTTTGCTCAGCATATAGAAGGAAAGCAATAATAAGATTAGTTGAAAGAAAAGATTAGCTTTTTCACTGAAAGAGTGGAAGGAATAACAGGAAAAATAAGGGTGGAGAAAGGGGAAAAGGAAGGAACCTGAGGAGGGGTGACAGTTTCAGGCAGTGGAGGACACTGCGAGCAACAAATTCCTGTAATAGAAAAGAAAGCCAAAGACAGAAGACAGACCACTGTTTGTTTGGAGCATTGGGAAAGAAGTGAAGAAAAGCCCATATTCTCCAAGTCCAAAGGGTGTTGTTATTTTATTCACTGTGCCGTGTTAAAAGCATATGGTACAGTCTGCAATCTCTGGAGGCAAAGATTGCAGCCTCTGAAAAGCTGTTACAATCATTCTATTGACAAATTCTTACAACATTCAACCTAACAAATTTAATGACTGGTAATATTTTTATTGCCGTATTTTCTTGCCAATGATATATATAAATTCAACCTATGTATTAATCCTGAGCTCTTCAGAATAAGAAATATTATCATGGGAATGGTTTCATGTAAATTCTATTTAGAAACACAGGCTCACACCTATAATCCTAGCACTTTGGGAGGCCAAGGTGGGAGGATCACTTTAGCCTAGGAGTTTGAGACCTGCCTGGACAACATAGCAAGATCCCATCTCTACAAAGAAAATAAAAAAATTAGCCGGGCGTGGTGGTGTGCACCTGTAGTTATAGCTACTCAGGAGGCTAAGGCAGGAAGATTGTTTGCAGCCAGGCTTTGAGGTAGCAGTGAGCTATGATCATGCCACTGTACTCTAGCCTGAGTGACAGAGCCAGAACCCTGTCTAAAAAAACCAAACAAACAAAAGAACAGGGATAGTAAAATGCCTCCCCTCAAAGTGTAAAACTGCAATGTGTAATTCAAGAAAAGTACTTAGGATGGTGTCTGGCCCAGAGAATAGAATAGAGAAGTGAGTATAAATTTGTAAAGAAGTTGGCCTGCCAACAATATGATAGTTATGCAGACAGTATTTAAGTTCAAGAACACATGTAGCAAGAATAAAGTGATTATTCTGGAGGAAAACAAATTTAATTTAATTTTAATTTTAATTTTTAATTAAACAGACTTTAATTTTAATTTTTCTCAAAGGTGGCGCTGTTACTCCTTCTAAATGGCTATGTTGTCTATCTTGCTCCATCTTTATGGGAAAGAAGCAAATCACCCAAAAGCTAATTAAAATCTTAATCTTTTTCTAAAAAGCAAGTTCCAGAGCAAGTAATAGATTTAATAACAAATCAGTTCCTAAACTGTCAGCATCTGGAACATATTATGAAAATAAATGCATGAGACTGTAATCCTCACTAGGCAATGGTTATCACATAGAGAACTTAAAAAAAAATGCTTTTGCTCCACTCCAGACCAAATAAATCAGAAAGCATAACTAAAGAAAATGGGTGAATTGATTTAAATAATAAGTTATTTATGTTTGCGGAAAATTTTCTTTTGAAACCTAATTAAAATTTTGTGTTGGTATGGATTCAATATTAGAAAAGCTGTTAGATACTCGATATCATCTTTAAGAAAATAAACTACTTAGGCCTAATTTACGTTTATACTTCTCTCTGACATAGGTCAGTTTGGTTCTGTTGTTCTCTTGTCTATATAATTTTGATTTCTTTGATAAATAGTCCATTTTAAAATATCGATGATCCAAAAATCCATATTTAATGTAGATTCCCAGTTTTTAATCATTTGTTTACTATGGTCACCATTTTCCCATATAGTGCCCATGTAATTGTTACTTAATATATAAAATTCGTATATGTATATATAAATAATCTCACCATTTTTCCTTTAATGTATTTTGAAAGGAAATTTTATATCACTGTTTTAAATAGAAAATCAATGTCACCAGAAATAGGAAGCACTAATATTTTTCAATTCCAGCTAAATAGTGTCGCCATTGGAAAACTCTGCTATTGAGGACTGTTCTCTCTTTGTTAGAGACATTATCGAGTGTTAGATTAGCACATTAGCACCAAACTGAGACCCTTTCCCTGAAGTAATCAGAGGATTGAAAGAGAGTTGAATATGGAATAAAACTTTTTCCACTGTACTTTCCTCTGACTTTAACAAAGTTGATAATTACCAGAAGATGCTAACATTTGGATCTGTAACAGAAGCTGAATATTTATACTTCTGAATTGTTTGGAGTTTGGATAATAAGGCTATATTGCTATTTAAAAATTTAAATCCAATACAGTTAATTGGTATGTGGAAAGAAACCAAGGTTTTGTTCTAACTCTTCTTGACACTCTTTCAATTAAAGGCACTGGAATTTCTTCAGAGCTTACTTCTAAAAGTTCCATGGATTAATAGTATTCACTTGGTTTATAGGTCAGAGAGGAAAACAGCTGATACAGTGTTGATCAATGTCTCCTTGTGTTGACTAAAATTAGGGATTCTATAATTGCTTTAAGAAAACAAAAGCATCAACTATGCTGTTGATACACTCTGACTTAGAGTTTGTTAAATTTGACGTGTCGGTTAGTTTATAGGCAGTGCCTTTAAGACCGACATTCGTTGATCAGTTTTATCTACTATAATTCATGCCAGAGTTTCTTGACTGAGTTCTTCTATCCATGCTATTGTCTGTCTCCTGCTTTGGGATCTTGTTCTGCTGGTTAGTCCTTTTAGCTTTTCTCTTACCCTTTCAATCACAGATAGTATTCTGATCTCTCTTTAAAATTCTCATAGCACCTTCCCTTTCTGTGTCTCAAATCTCTCTCTTTTTTCACTCTTAAACTTAGTGGAAAATAGTTCTATGCTATTGGTTTCTCCCTCTGAGACTTTACAATGTCCTGTTTGTTTGTTTGCCTCTCTGACCATTCAGGATCAGTGTCCCGAACAAGATTCTTCCACTACCTATCATGTAAATATTGCTCACTTCTCATTCTGTATACACCATTTTTTTGTGTTTCAGGAAGTCTGATAGCCTCAAATCTTTATATCCAGCCTGTTTCTCTGTCCTGAGCCTCAAATATCCAGATATCTAAAGCCAGAATATCTCAAAATAAGCTCATTCCCAAACCATTCTCATTCATCAATATACCTTATTTTGTCACAATGTTAACTCCCATCCAGTCTTCTAAACCAGCACCTTGTGTTCTTCCTTGGAATTATCCTTGTTCCTTTTTTTTTTATTATTATTTCTGCATATTATGGGGGTACAAATGTTTAGGTTATGTTGCCCTTCCCCCCACCCCAGTCAGAGCTTC